CCTTTCCACCCCCCATCCCCCCATCTCGAGACCTTACGCCCAGATGATTCATTCACACATGTGCCGTGATGCTTGGTATATAATATCTTCTGCGTGGTTACCTGCCGTGTCCGCTGCTTGCACGTCACCGACTTTACCAACTCATGATTAATATAACCTTTGTCGTCTGACCTCGAATACAAAACTTGGCATCGCCAACATCACCCAGGAGTCACCCTTGAACACTCGATTCTGCCTTTGAAGCACTGTTCATCCGACAGCCATCGCCGTCACCCACGCCATCATAATTAGTGTGGCAATCAGGTGTCAGTCACAAGCTTATCATTGTCCGGTGCCCTGCTCAATAACAGAGTTTGGCACTTGTAGGCCTGGCGAGTCTTACCGGTCCTCTCCCAAGCCCCAGCCCGGAAGCCTCTCGCCGCCGACTCACGTTTGATCCCACCAACTCCTCTTGGGGCACGGTTCCGGCTCCCGACGGACCCATCAACCGAGGGACCTGAATAATTGTCACAGCCGAGTCAACACTCGGCATCTATATTTTATATTGTCTCTGCCCTCCTACTCCTGGAACGTTTCTGCGTCAACACTCATCATCTACCGTGCCACGACAACACCACGTCCACGCAAAAGTACCTATTGGAATAATCTCGACTCGGTCTTGCACCCTGTACTGGGCACAACCACTATCGACTACTCTCAACTCCTCCACAAACCACAACACTCACAATGTATGGCTCGTACGGGTCATATAGCTCGATGAGCGCTATGTCGGCGCCTTTGGATATTCCTTTCAACAACATTCGGAATCAAGACTCGACGTGCGCCTTCCCATCGTGGCCGCGACGCTCATCACTATCAGAATCCGAGCACGATGAGCCACGCGCGACCTCATATCTCTCGGACGACGACCTCTTTCTTTCTGATGCCTACGACGACGAAGTCGGCAGTATCTCCAGCTCTAGCAGCTCATCATCACCTTCTACGGTAGCAATCAGCTCGCCCCCTCGCATTTCTGATGAAGAATTTCTTCGACTAGAGTGTGAGCGAGTTGCCAGACAGAAGGAGTTTCTCCGGCAAGTCAAAATGGAGAAGGAGCGCCGTCGCCAAGCCGCACTGCGGGCTCGAAGAAGCACTCCCAAGAAGAGCCCCAAGGTCAAACATGCATCGCTGACGACGATAACCGAGTCCAACGAATGACTGCCACTCTTATCCGTCTGCCCTCCGAGGCATGGCTTTGCACAGTAAGTCTATGCGTGTCCTTGACCTGCCTGGCAGGCAAAATGACATCTGACTTACACCACGGTCTCAGGCATTTTACTCGAACCCCCACACTTTTCTCACATCAGACCCCTAAACACCCCAAGATCTAATACCCCACACCACGTGCAAATCGACCGACGAGGCACCAGCCATCTGAGTAACACGTTGCAGAGCGTGTTTGAAAACAGCATCTGAGCGCATCAATACGAAATCAGCTTACACGAGGCGCCGTTGCACACTTACGAATCCGCGCGCCCAGTCAGCTTCCGTTGGTCATCGATATCGCAGCCACAGGAAATGACGAAGCTGCGCCGCCTGCCAGTGATGATGCCCTCATTGGCTGGTGCATGCATTATGGAAAAAGTCGGGGACTGCCACCCGAGAGCGGTGCAAACACGATTCTCCGGCGGGTGACGCGCGATGCTCTTGTGGTGAGCAGCGAATCTAGCCAACCACGGCGAGGCAGCATGCTGGTGTCACCAGGCAAACACGACCACACAGCTGGCTGTCGAGTTTGGTGTGCCATTGCTGGAATCCAGCGTGCAACGGGTCTGATCGGAAAAGCCACTGGGCCAAAGCGAAACAAAGTCAGCCAGTACCGAGGCGGATCCGCAGCACGCTTCGGAAGCTGGGATTTCCGTGGTGGCCAAAGTACTCGTAGACTCGGCACCCGACGCACATGTTTCCAGCGCTGCCAGCCAGTGGCGGTTGGCAGACGGCAGGTGACAGAAGGCAGCAAGTTTGCACGGGACCCTGCAGGCCAAGTACCCAAGTACCCAAGTACCCTCGGTCAGATGGCCCAACGCCGAAGATGACCCGCCTCGCTCGGAGTTGCACATGCACACACTTTTGGACACATTTCACTTTCACATTCCGATGTCGACCTCTTATCTTCTTATCGCCATTGCCCAGCTGTGCTGGGATCCACGTGCCTGCAACCACTATAGCGGTACGTACGGACACGGTTCCTCTTCGCACCGACACCGCCGTCTCAGGCCCTCAACCATGCAGGCATCGGCTATTTACTAGTATCTAATTTCTTTCTACCTTTCCGGGCCTTTTTCTTGGATATTTTTTTTTTCACATGTCAACGCGCCCCTTTATCGTGGGGTGTTGATATTATCTCCTTGAGCGGTTTTTTCTCTCTCTTTTGACAGCGAGCGCTCTCATGGACGCGCATTTTGGTTTCACTACAATGTCAGAGCGGGCATCTCATTTCGAAGCGGGAACATTCGGGATTACAGAAAAGTCGCATTGCGATAGCATCTAGATAGACACGAGGAAAACAGGGCCTCACAAGCATTAGCGCTCAGTATTAGGATACCATTTGATGTGGCTTGTTCGTCATCAAGATGACTGTCACTTTTGTTTGTTTAGCATGAACTTGGCAGATAGGTCTGCGCATGACGGACATTTTATATAGCCTGCTTCGCAGAGATACCCTATTGGAATTACACATTAGCTTTCTCATACTATAGTTCTTTGCACGACACGTGCCTTGATTGGTTGGGTCTACCGATGCTCCCTAATAATTGAATAAGAAGTCTGGTTAGAAGCCTCGTGATGGGCAGCGTGCGCGGAATGCACAAGACTGGACAACTCGCCAAGTGGGCTTGCGATGCAGGCACTGCCATCCATCCAGGCGTAACTGCGTTGAAACAGACAAGTCCGAAGATTGATATCTGCACCGTCGTCCTCGTGGCAAGGCGGTACCATGCGAGGCGATCCAACTCGATGTAGTTTTTCTGATAGCCCGACTTCTTCATCAACCAACCCAATGTGAAAGGAGTATTTCTACGCACAGTTTAATGAATGGCAATGGTGCAATCTCAATCGGCTGTTTTTTTTTTTTCGGGTATGCCTTGCAAGGGACATGAACCTCGTCGTACCACAACTAGACCAGGCCGTGAGGCAGCTCTGCCATCCCCCGTATACAGCTGTGGGGGAGTTATGAAGTGCGAAATTATTTTGGTGATTCATTTATTTACATACCCGGCCGAAACAGTACTAGGCTGACAATGTCGAAGACGCAGAACGGCCAGACTGTTGGACTTGGTGCTGTTATCACTGGAATAGGTTGTCGGCTGTAACAACTGCCTCGTATTAGGGAAAGGAGTACATTTCAACTTGCTCTGGGTGGGCTATGACGATGGTTGGAAATTGCGACTGGACGTGGTTTTTTTTCAACAAAGGAAATGCTGGCCCCGGAGATCAGATTATGCCAATAGAGCCACCAGCTGGATCATGCGAGGCCGGCTTTGCACACAGTTGGAGTTTGTCCGACTGCTTCAAAGGGTCCAGTCGGATGATGGAGCTGGATGAATTCGTGGCCCTCTTCTTGGCCAGTTACTAGCAACTGGTGATTGGTGTCGACTATTCGTCAACTTTATAGCTGATGGTGTCTATATGTGCAAACGATTCCAAGCACATCTGTCACTGATATACGTTGCTTGATCTACTAGAACCTCAGAAACTTCAACTGGTTGCTTATCGAATCTGACGCCGAGATGGGTTACAAGAATGTTTTGTTACGACGTCTGGGCAACTTCCAAGTGAGGTTTTGCCTGGGGCTATCAAGACCATTATGGAAAAGTTGCTACATATATATACGCATAGAGGAAGGAGAATCCGAGTACATTGACAGGGAGAAGCGGATAGCTTTCATCTCGCCGGTATTTTGGTCGTCTCCTCAGCACACGGGCAGTAATAATGTGAAGCTTCTGCATTTTAGACATGTCGACTAGCGTGACGTTCATTCCGGGGTTTCTCATTACGAGAACCATATTACACGATGAGTTGTCCTCTTTTGAGCCAAGTACACACTACGCGCTTAGACACCACGTCTCACTTCCATACTTGCCTGGCTCGTTGTCATTGTCAACTTCTACATCTCGAACGGTGCTGCTTGGATCATTTGTATTGGAGGCCGTGACTGCTATATGTTTGTAGGTGTACACGCTATTAAAAGCATTAAACTCAAACAGCAGGTGAATCTCTCGTTAGTAGCTGAGAGCCTTTCTCCCTTTGCAATTTTGCTGTTTATTAGTCAAACCTGCTCATGGCTGAAGTGAACTCTTCAACAAGATGAGAAACCACTACCCAATGCTTACATTCATTGATCCAAGGGTCAGATATTTGGAACTTGTCTTTATACCATGGCTACTCGGCCCAAACCGTTGAGCCTTCCCAATAGTACCTCGCAGCTCGTAGGCACGGGTTGACAAAATCTGTCGTAATCATACGTTCTGTCATGAGAAACAAAGTGTCTCTACATATTCCGAGTCCGCGGCGTATTGTACGGATCCCTGATTTAGGGGGGTTTCCCCGTGGCCCTGGTAGACTTGTCAGCACGGCATCCCGAACCTCGTGAAGCCACCGTGACTTACACCACTCCCACCCAGTCGAACAAACTTCTCAGGCTCTCCCCCTACTCCAAGGCTGGTATTTCACAGAGTAGGATGGAGAGGCCCTAGCATGGTTTTCCGGGACCGCTGTTCCCGAGGATGTCTCTCAAAGTTGCAATCTCCGTCAGTCTCTCGACTCAACGCGATATCATCCATAGATTCCATAAAGCCACGAGCAGTATCGGACACTATACGGAGTACGGATTCCACAGCCCCTCCAGTGCATTCAAACCAATCAAGTGATATGCTCAAGCTGCAAAATAAAGCCAAGCGCAGCTCATGTCAGCAACAGCCCTCTTGGGTGTGTGTGATACATCACCACCCACAAGCCTCTCCTCCGCCCCAACAGCATGTCTCACCCGGCCCCTGTCTATTCTCAGCTTATCCCGCTATGACCAACAATAGGCACAGGCTTCTAAATATATGTAGTATGTTGTATCGTTGCGCCTCGCTTCAGTCGCCTTGTACTCCGTGCTCCCTACTCGATACAACTCACCTGGCGTAACTCCATCAACGGAGCCGAAAGAAACGAAATACTCTGGTGAACCTGCTCAATCCAACAACGGGAAAACGTTGATCTCAACGTCTCCATGTCTCAAATGGCCATCCCAGTCACAGGGCGGGGGAGTAAAACAAGGGCTCTCTCGACTCTGTACACGTTGGCAGGGCTGCATTCTTCTCAGCCTTGCATTTCCGCAAAAGCAAACATTTGCAAACACATCCTTCTTTTCTCGGCACAAAACCAAACGGGTATTGTAATACGTACGTGCAGTTGCCGCAAGTAAACACCGCTAGCTAGATATTCTATGTACATTTGGACATGGGCGTGAAATGGCTTGCATGACAGAAGTGCTAGTTTGTCATGGGTAAGTGAATACACACACGCACGCACACGCGCATACATGCGGGAGGGCCAATTAGTATATCATGCTTTGGAGCGCACATGATGTAGAGCCTGCATGTACAGAGTATTACGACCTGATAAAAATATGGACAATGGACTTGAATGTGCGACAGGGCTAAGTTATTTCTCCGATGTGGCTTATTGGTGACCGGCCCGACTCTTTGACTTTACCTTGGCTTTTCCCCATGATTTATTTTATTTTAGTATTTTCCGGCCATGATTGATTCATGTTCAAAGGCATCCAGCGTGGCGCGGCGATGGCGGGGGAAAAATTGGTGTGACGACGTTGGGGACAAGGAAACGGCACGGTGTGCCTATTTTTGTACATAGAAAAGCCGTCGGGCTGCGATCGCTATGAGGGATGGAGGTGGAAAAGTTGTCCAAGCCTGTACTTTGCAGATACTGCCATGCTATGATGTGATATTGGCGGTGTCTGTGTCTCGGCTCGATGCTGCGTTTTGTTCAAGATGATGCTGTGGATACGGACTCTTGTGTCTTTTTTCTTCTTCTAAGTTTGCCAGTACCGATTCGGAAGTAAAACAAGCGACATACGTAGCAAGCAAGTTTCCCTCCGCCGTTGTCAACAAGTCTTGACTCATGTTGGCCAGCACCAACATGTACAACTCGTTGGGGCAGCGTATCCGGAATGCGATCCGCACGTACGGAGTGCATGCACCACCGAACCTGCGAACCAACATCATCATTTCGACATGGTAAAATTGATGGCTGGGTGAGAAGTTGAAGTCTCTTCATCCTGTAATATTCCTTCCTTAGTTGCCGCTCGACTCGTCGCCACCCGAAGCACGCCGTTTCTGGCGTCTTCTGAGAACCTTGCAGCTGGAGTCTGCAAGTGATCGCACGCTTAGAAGCCAAATAAAGTGACATCGACGGGCCAACGACCAGGGCTCCCCTGCTCGGAAGGGCTTGTTACCCGGACCAAGGGCTGCCACAGCAGTGTAACTGTGATTAAGAACCCCCCTGGTTTCTTGGTTTTTTGTGTGAGCATTTCCGTTCCCAACGCCGATGAGGCTTGTGAAATCTCCATGCCTTGGGCCGCGATAACGGGCCGCCTGTGGGGGAGGAGTTGGTTGCGCGAATCATCGACTTGCAGAATGATGATATGGCGAGGGGAGAGTATAACTAGTTGCTTTTAGTTCAGTGGCTGAAGCGAGAACTAGTATACTTGGATGTTTTGCGTTTCTTTGAAGTCAAGCCATCGTCTTGCTCTTGTGCCCACGCGCGGGCATCGATACGAGTAGGCTTCCAGTTCCGGAGCTGGATGTGGTTGTTGGATTGCCCTGAATATGCAGCTCTTATGCCTGGGGGTTTGATTCTTGTGGGAAAAGGCTTCAATTGAATTGCAAAACGCTGCATCTTTGGCGTTTGGAAGGCATGTACTACGTAATGACCCTTTATTCTGGCGAGCATCAATACACTCAAACTGAACTAGGACAATTGACTAGGTTGTTGGTCCTCCACATTTCGCATTAGGTTCGTATTATCGGCAGTGATGGCGCTTGAAAGTTAAATTCTGCGTGTCCCGTCTAGTGACGTATCCTTCACGTGGCAGATCTTAATATCCGTCCGCGGCGTTACACCAGCTGGAAGCCCAGGGTGGCCCAAAGTCAGGCCATGGCCAGCAAGACAAGTTTGTGCAGTGAGTCCAGTGACTTGCTGGCACGATATGTCGCAGATTGAAGCGGTCAACTTGACCCCATGTTATTTCTCAACGCCCTGTGCGGAGGTATACATATGTAGTACTCCGTACATATCTCAAGCTGCAAATTGGTTCAGATCACATCAAACCATCCTCTGCACTCGGTACCGGACGGGGTATCGGACCGGGATAACGGTGTGCTGGACAAGGGTAAGAGAACCGCCACTGTTATCACCCTTTCGTGATACTCCGTACATTCTTGTATTTGGGATCTGCGAAATCCGTACAGGGTCTTCGGCACCATAAAGTGTTGTGAGTTTGTCAAAAATCGTTCCTGGCTTCAATACTCGTTTGGTACTACCCAAAAACCTGCGTGCCTCTGGCCATTTGGGCAACTTTCTCCGTCTCGGGAGCCCCTCCGAGTTCCATCCGGAGTAGTTTTGTATGATGCACTGGTGGGGCCGGACCCCAGATGGTTTCTTTGCTGAAAATGGAGAAAGCCAAGCTGCAAGTCGACTGATGCCGAAATTCCTGCTGTTGAACTCCATGTGCAGTCTGCTTGTTCTTAATATATATCTTTCTCACCGCATTGGAGGCTGTAGGAGCCAGCCTCGCCTATCCGTGTGCCATTCACCCTGCGTTGCAGAGTATGTGATTCCACAAACGCACCTACATGGTCCAGGTCAGTTGGTAACCTGAGGTGCGCACCACTGGCCGAGTCGGCATTGATGGACATGACGGTTGGATCGTTAGGGCACGGGAGTGAAGAGGGGAAAGGGACTCCCGCGAACAAGCGACCCTGAGCAGGGACGGGCCGTTTGATACGAATCACAAACATGGCGGCATCGAGGTTGTTGGTTGTTGTTGGATTGGGACTTTTTGCAATGTCCTGGCTGCAGACATCGGCGATTGGTTCGTCTGGCACAATAATGTTGGATCAAACCCGAGGACGACATGAGCACTTCTTGGCTCGACAAGTGAGCGACCAGCTACATACGCAGGTAACTAAGAGCAATTATTAGATTATTAGAACCTTCAGCTCTGGGCGAGAAACAGCTTTTCAATTGCCGTTACTGAGTACCTAAGCCGCGATGGTAAAGTTTTGCGAGGTGGCCAGGGCACGACGAGCAAGGGCAGAAACACGCCGAGAATTCAGGGTCGTGCCTCTATTCGCCAGTGAGCGAGGGCCAGATGAACGTCAAGAACTAGATGCCAAATGAAAAAGACCCGGCGGACTTGTAGCCAGTGATGGCAGAGGCGCAACAAGGAATAGTTGCCTGCAAGTGGTCAACTCTGTGGTCAAGCTCCGTCCAATGTCGACAAGGAAATCAAGCAAGAGATGGAAAGTTGGTCCAAGCTCCACCGACCCATAATAACTCATGCCGTCGAGGGGTGGCCGGGAGAGGGCGATTAAATCCCTGTAGCAGCCGTGATGGCACCGTTGATTGGACGGTTCCTTGCGCGCACTTGCAGCAAGCGCAGCCAATCGAGGGCCGCAAAATTCGTCGGCGCTTCGAACCGTGCTTCCATTCGAAAACCGGCTCGTTGGGCCCCACTTTCGACCGCCGCCCCAAACGACCCCACCTGCACGCTCCTGTCACCAGTTGGCCCGGAGCCCAACCACATGTCTTCGTCCAAGTGATGCCTCCGCCTCTGCGACGCTCGGGACGCTCTGGAGCGACGACACGACCTGCCAGAGTAATTTGAGTGGCCGTGAATTCGTGACCGTGGTATGAGAACGGTTGACTTATAACAGACCATCACGCACTTGGACGTGTCTGCGGAGCTGGATCGGCAATGGAGTCAGACTATCCGACTATGAGATGACGAGGCAGACCACGGATGAACAGAAGGGATATGCGCAGATGGCCTACTTGGGGCCTCATCTGGTCCAATCCTGACCGACATGAGTCCTGTCAGGTACAGTTGCGCACGAAAAAAATTCAATGTCCAACGACAGCATTCAATTCCATCGTTTTGCTCTACGAAAGCCCCAACGACCGGCTAGCCATCTTCTGCAGTGCAACCATGCGAACCCCGCAAACCTCAGAGGGGAGGTAGGCAGAGATACTATGGCTGGTTTCACGTACCCAAGCATGCAACTGCACATATGTGCGTCTGCGTTGGACGCTTTTCTCCTGCCAGCAACTCTGTGGCAAATGGGGTCCAAACTCGGTGGCATGAGCAGCCGCAGTCACCGAGTTATGCAACTGCAAGGCGCGGCAGAGGCAAAAAACGGAAATTGGTGTCTGGGAGCAAAGCCCAATGGATGACTTCAGGCTGGTTCAGAGACGTCAACGACAGAATGCTTACGGGGCGCTTCTGATACGGACTGTATCTCGTGCCGGAACTAAGGCATGACATGGCGTACAACTCACGGTAGACTAAGAGAACTAGACAGGGGTAATTTTACTTGAAATCGTGGTTAGGTGTGCTAATTCGTCACCTTGGCTACGGGTGATACCATTCACTAAAATAGCTTCGAGATATCTGATGCCGGGGCCTAGAATTCATGCCGCGTATGAGAAGGCTTGACATCGTCGGATTCTTGCCCCCCCGGGCCTATTATCTTTCCCGGGATCTATGTCTCACGGGATGCAGTATTTACTCGTCCCATTGTGACGCCAGGTTTCGACGTCTTTTATCGTGACTCGTCGGTGCCACTTGAAGAAGATCCATTCACAGGCCACAGTCTGTTTCCAACGTCTTGGAGGCTGAACGGCGATTGCGCATGATCAGGCTGTAGCCAGGAATGGATCTAATCTGAGCCTGGGAAAGGAGAGAGCGGCCATTTGGTTTCGCTTTGGTTTGTTTGGGTCGCAGTTGATAGTTGGGGGATACTAATTCAGATAGTCCGGCCCTCTCTAAAACAAAAGGCTCTGAACTTACATGCCTTAGCAAAGTCTGCTCAGCCAGCAATTAGGCGCCGTGGTGCGACTCACACTTCATGAGCATGGGAATCAGTCACACCACCTCGAATAAGCCTGTCGGCCATGTCGTTGGCCATGTCGACCATGGCGGATCACCCCGGCCCCTTGCTTTTCTTCGCATGCCCTGGCAATGTCTGCACTTAATCCCTATCCGTACCATGCATGCACGCTCACCACCAAAACACCCTTGCCACGCTCCGTACTGCGTCGACGGTTGCCGTACCGTGCCATGCCAGGCCATGTTTTGCCAATGCATTATAGAATACGGAGCCGTAAGCCCCTGGTCCCTCTTTTAGGCCTTTGGGACTCTGTTGCTGAGTGTGGTTTTGTTCATCTTACCTGTGGCCGCTTCGTCGACGTGGTCGACTTATTTGGCTACCTACCCTTTTTCAACCTCTTTCCTAAAACTCTCCTTCCTGCTTCCTTCCTTCCCCCATTGAATTCAACCCGGACCCCAACACCACCTCTAAACGAAACAAAACAACCAGACTTCATCAAACCACCCGTCTGGTTTCGTTTGGAGCCGACAACGCATATTTCACGCTTGCACGAAATTCATCTTTGTTGGTTGCCTCGTGTAACCGGAGCCACGAGCACGCCTGTTCCGCGACAGGCTCAAGACAAGCGCCGACCCCGGTCCACCTCCTCTTTGGGGCGGGCCGCCGTCACCAAACAACCTCCTCAGTGCTCGTTTCTGTCTGTGTGCGCTCTCTCCGCACGGTGAATGTCTTTTGGTGATAACCACCACCCTTTTTTTTCTTGCTCACACATTCAACTGTGTTCCCTTCAGCTTTTCAAATTCTCGCCCGTGTTACACGTTGCGACCGAGACATACTGTTGCGGTGTGAGCACCAAGAGTGGCGGAAGGGCAACTCAACACTCACTACGTCTGCCGCCAACTTCGCTACCAACCATTACGACGATACCCAGCACCGTTTACCGAGAGGACGCTTCTCTTGACCACATTGACTCGTACAGGGACACACTCTGCATGTCATCTTGGAGATTTTTACTTGAGCTGGCTTCCGAACAGCGAGCCAACCTTTCGCCATTTGTCTGCGCTCGCGGCCAAGTACAACTCGCATCCGTGTAAATGATGGTTTAAGTGTGCAGCTGTCGCACTCATCGCCGATTTCCCCCGCCGTTTATTCTTTGTGCGAGGGAAGCGACCAAACTTAGTCCGCCACCCTTAGACGTACAAGCATCTTGACGACCACTGTGGTACGGTCCAAATACCATTCCACGGGGGCTTTTCAAGCCATCGAGCACCGCGGAGGACGACAGCATCTTTCTGCGGGGCGCCCAAATCGTCATCCTTTGTTTCTGCAGGCTCCCGAGAGGAATCAGATTTCCTTTTGAGCCTCGAATTTCCGCCTGATTGCTCCAGGGCTTGCTCTCGCTACATACCAGAGTCACAATGTCTGTATCATCAAGGAATCGCACTGCTAAAAGCTCTGGCAAGTCGTCTACTGCCAGAGGCGAACGCTCTCAAGACGTTACCACCATGCCCGCAGTAAAAGAACTGAAGTTTTTCGACTCATGCGCCGCCACGGCCTCCATGTTTCTTTATGCGCAAGGCCCTTCAATTGTATGTTGTCACCATGACACTTTGACCATTGAGACAAGATTTTCAAGGCATAAAGAAACAGTCCAATTACTCGCCGTGGACAATCAGAGTGATTTAGGTGCTGGCCGCCTTGTTGTCAGCTACGATGCCGGACAGACCGCAATTGTCTGGGACTTGATGACTGGTGACGAAGCCGCCAGATTCTCATCTTATGAAACGCTTACTACCGCAGCATGGATGCGAAATGGAAATGTCGCTTTTGGTAAGACATGTGACGACATGCTTGCAAGTGATCTCGTGCCCTTGGCTTTGAGCTAATTGTCCATTTGCAGGCAACACTCAGGGAAACATTATCCTATTTGAACCAACGACTTCAGAACATATCTCGTCAAGAACCATAGACCAGATTGCAGTTACTGCGCTGGCACCGTCCGCTGACTGCAGGACGTTTGCAATCGGGTAAGAGCAGAGGAATTCGACCACGTACCATTCAAAAATTAATGAAAGGCGTCAGGTATCAAAATGGATCCCTCTTGATCGCAACACTTCAACCGCGCTTTACAATCTTGCACAACTTGACAACATCGAGAGCACCATCACCCGTAGTAACGCTAGCATGGCACGCTTCTTCATCGCGACAAAAATCCGACATGCTGGCAGTGCAGAGCCATGATGGGGACCTCCGAGTTTGGAGTGTTGCAAAGAATTTCAGTGCTGATGATCCTGCGAAAGTCGTCAGAATACTTCGGCGACGAGAAAGCTCCGTTTCTGGACCCAACTGGATGGGCTGGTCCAAGAATGGTCGTATTATTCAATACTCAGACTCGTAAGCGTAACCTTATCAAAAGACTCTGCGCTACACACGGTGTTGTCTAACCTCCTAACAGGGAAACCCTGTCGTGGGATGTACGAACAAAACATGTTACCTTTGACTCTATCCCTACTTTGGAACATGTCAAAGGGCTGGCATTATACGGACCAGGGGCCACCCTTTTCACACTGGGGCCGAACGGCACTGTTCAACAGTTTGATCTCAACTCACCGTCTATCATAGTTGCAAATGTCCAGCATCCCACGAACCTCTTGCCGCCATCACCTCCAAACTCAATCGAAGAGCCAAGCAATGCGTCGGCACATTCTGTGACGACGATTCATACATCAGAGTCGGAGTCTAGTTCTGTACCATTCGACGTGGGCATCTCGGAAAGCGATGAGGACCAGTTGTCCCCATTTGCACGCTTCTCTCGTCGCCCTCATGTCGACTCTTCAGGGGGTGAGATGTCTTACGATCCGGGAAGTCCAGTATCTAGTCGAAGTGGAGCATCATCGCTCTCCAAGTCATCTGCTGGTTCTCGTACACCAGGTCGTTATCCCGGATCAATGATATCCAGAGGCATGACAGAGAACACTTATATTTCCGCCGGCTCATCCCTCAAATCCTCAACTATCGGTCGAAAAGAACCGGACACCTACTCCATGGGCTATTCACTACCCTCAACAAGTGGCGCATCTATGAGCTCTTCACGATCTAGACACAGGCCATCCCGCCTGAGGCATGAGGTTCCTCGAAGCCCTGACGATAATAAGGTGCACGATCTGTTCAAGTTTACACGTAGCCGCTTGAGCGACATTCCCTACAAGCATCCCATACGGGCTGATAATTCTCGCCTCACAAACGAGGACTTGAGAAGGCAAATGTTTAGCACCATTTTTGGATGGCACAAACCAGTCGAGGATTTAATTCAGGATGAAATGAGCAGACACCCAGCCGGCTCAGCCAGTCGCATTCTTCTTGCCAAGTGGCTCGGCGACATGGATGCCGATATCATGGTCGGTTCGTCTGAGAATATGAGCTCGTCAGACTGGATGCTACTCGCTCTGAGCGGCATTGGTGGGCAGCAGTCTCAGCATAAGCTTGGACGGGCTTATGTCCAGCGTTTACTAGAAAATGGCGATATTCATGTTGCCGTTACCATCATGCTCGGCATGGGTGATCACAACGACGCAATTGAGATCTATGTATCTCACAAACGCTATATGGAAGCCCTGATACTCACATGTGTTGCGTTTCCGAGTGTTTGGGAACGCCAGGCTGCCATTATTCGCAAATGGGGAGAGTGGGCTGTGCAACATGGTCAACAGCAGTTGGCAATACGGTGCTTCGCCTGTACTGACCAGGAATCCACCGAGCCATGGAGCTCTCCGTCAGCAGTCCAGCTGAACTTCCAGGCCATCACACCGAGTATCCCAGAGATCCTCAGTCCTCCTTTGTCGCCACCGGACGTTCAACGTGGTCCCCAGCGCAGTGTTGCTAAGTCGTCTGCCCTGAGACTAATTACCTCGTTTGGTGACCAGAGTCAAAAGTCGAGGTTCTATTCCCAAGGGGATGGTGGGCAAACGCCAATTGCCGCTGGCGTTACTCCAATCGCTGAATCGGCTATCTCTCCAGCGGGTTATGATGTGACTACAGCATTTCTACGCCCATCCAGCAATAGCAGATTCAATACACCTACCTCTGCTCGCCCCAGTGGCTCAAGCTATGGACGCGGAAGGCTCCCATCCATCGGTGAAATTCCCTCAGACTTAAACCGGGAGGCGCTTCAAGCTGCCGAGAAGTCTAGTGAAAAGGAGAGCCGCCAGGGGCATGTTCGTATGTCGTCTACGGAGCAGGATAATCTGGCCGCCGGTATTTCGTTACAGCGTGCTGCAACGGCCAGCCCAATGATGATGAGGGATGGTTTCCAAAGGGTCGTACGGGGCTATGAAGGCGAACGACCTCCATCGCCTAATCATGATATCCTGAGCAGGATGCAAGAGGCTCGGTCAAATTCCAGAAACGGCTCGCGTGATCGCATTCCTCGAGGCGTCAACCTTCAACTCAAACATTTGGGGCCGTCCGCCCTTGCAGATGTAACCTCCCCCGAGCAGTCTGCTGCATCATCAACTCGCTTCCACTGGCCTTCAAGACGCCGTGGGCCCGGATCAGTTGCAAGTTCCATAACCTCTACATCCAGCGCAGGACGAAGTTTGCGTACAAGCCAAAGGCACCGTGACGATTACATACATAGCCTCGAAGCTGCCAGTCATTACCCGAAAAGAAATCGCAGTCGAGGCGGAAGCACCGAACGAGCTCGTGAATCGTCTCGAGGTCGCCATGAAAGCCGAGAAAGAAGGACCAAGTCGAGAGAAGCGTCCGAGGAACGTGGTAGAGCCTCCGTTCGATCTTGGACAAAGCCCAAGAGGTCGCCCACCTCTCCAATTCCCATGTCACCGGAAGATCTCGCCAATCTGAGCACACCCAAATACTACGATGCCGGCGAACCGGTTACGACTAGGAAGTCAAGCAGCACCAAAGCAAAGACTCGCAGTCGAGCATCCAGTCGGGGGAGTCAACGGCGCAGTCCGGACGGCCGACCTCGGCCACCAGCGCTGGATATTCGTGGCAGAAGTCAGGTTCGGGAAGGATCTCATCAGCGATCTCCATCATCACCCCTACCGCTTTCTGCAACTGCAGCGTTACATTACCAAGGCTCCGAGGATGAAGAAGATTTCAAGAGGGCAATTGAAGAGCAAGAGAGCTTTAGGGCCAAGCATAGTCGAAGCGCAAACCGTGGTCTCAACTCTCCACTGGTGACAAAGGGCGAGAGGTCAGAAAGCCGCCACAGAGAGGCTGCGGAGGCGCTTGACACCCTTCCACCTATGATTACTCATACTCGAGCAGCTTCAACTGAACATGCTGGTGACTTGCGGCAAATGAAAGACGAACGCCAACGAAAGAAGGAGCAGGCAGCTCGTGAGCTCGAGGAACGTCGAAAGTCACTTGCCAAGAGACCACAAGCACCACAGATCCCGCATCCAAATGAAATCAACAGCACCGCCTTGCGAATTGGAGTCGAGATGACAGAACCAAATGACCTTGAAGATGTACCTCCTCGTTGTGCGACCGAGCCACCCAAGAGCATGTATGCGAGGAGCGGGCCACACATTGGTCTCCCAGCAACTCCCAAAGCCATGAGACTAATTCTTGAAGCCGAACATAGCAGCAAGATGAGCAAAGATGCCCCGGAAGTTCCCTTCATTCCGCCAAACTATGTCAAGCTCGATTCGTCTGAGCCATCTCCGCAAAAGGAAGAAAGCATTGGGCCATTAACGCTGCTTCCGTCGACTGTATACCAACCACCACAGAAACTGGCAATTCCCCGAAGCATGTCAGCCCCGATTCCAGACGAGCCTGGGCAAACTCGATATTCTAGGAAGGTTAGCATAGGTGAAGTTCGAGGCATCGACGAGGTAGTACAGGGCAGACGACGTCGTTCGCAGGAGGAGCCAGTACCGCCGCCGCCGCCTCCAGCTCCGGCCGCACCACCTATGCTCAAGGAGCTCCAGCACTTGGCCATGCCGCCACCTCCTCCCCCTGCTCCTCTGCCATATGCACAGCGATCTCTCAAGGGCGGGGCCTTGGCTTCGGGCATGATTGAGATTGTGATGGATGAAGATGATGATGCTCCAATTGTCGCTGCCCCTAATGACGGCATGGTCCCAGTTCTTGCACCGCCTGCTCCTCCCTCCAGAGGCCACAACCGAGGACGTAGTAATGGAGGTGGGAGCTTCTCTGGAGGATTGCCCAGGAATGGCGAACGGATGAGGTCGGCCAGTCGCAGTCGCAAAGGCTCCATGGCAAGCATTAAATCGCCGCCATTAGAGATGTCATCAGATGGTGCTTACCGCGTAAGCACGCTTCGATCACCTGTTGCGGGGGTGCCTCCCCCAATGATGTATGACCCTGATGTGATTCGGACTGCGATTGAACCAAACGGAAAACACCTGTCGACCGGACTCCACCAAAGCGAGATGTTTTGAATTTATTAGAAGCAGCATTTGCATTGACACACGTCAGTTGAGTGATCTTGGCTATTGGTCCTTTGGCCTCCATTTTTCTCTTGTTTTTCTCTTTGCCTTCTTGTCTTGAATGAAACTAGTTTCAATTCTCACGCAGCGTTTGGCGTTATTGGCCTTGTTGAGGCTAATATTGGATGCCAATATCTTTCGTCCGAAGTTGCATGAATCAGTATTTAGGGCCTGCTGTGTTGTGCTGTGTTTTCTGGCGTGGTTGTTTGAAGAGGATATTAGAAAAGCAGCACGGCCTTTCATGACCAATTTTTTGCTTCTCGTTTCGCATTTTTCTCATGGCCGAGGATCATACGCCGTATTGGGGGACGGCAACAATCTGGGTATTTTTTTGCCTTTATCTGCATCATGCTTCTTATCAGCTTCTTGACCAACTCCTTTACCACTTTGTACCATTCTTTGTTCTTATTTTATTTTTTTATTTTTAATGGCTCGCGAGTACAAATGGAGCAGGGAATGGTACTAAGCCCTGTGAATGCGCACTTGAGCCTAATTTAGCATTTTTCATTTCATGATTGACGAAATGGTTTGTTTGAGGGTCGCTGGAAGTAGGAAACGAGACTGTGAGCATGGAGGGATGTTCGTTGGCTGGATCGGAGTGTGATGCTCGGGTGCTTTATACAATGCTGCCTCGCGGCAACTTGTTCCAAGGCCATGGTGGTTGTGGTTATGATTTCTTGAATATATCCCACGGGTTGTTTATTACGTCGCATTGCCTATGGTTCCGACTGGAGAGTGAGGTGTAATGTTGTGTTTTGGGAGAAAGGCTGGGTTATAGTCGTAATGTGTTGACGTTGAAGTGTGTAGCTTGGCACAGTGCCCACCCGTATTGGGGGTTCGAAACCGCGAACTAGCGAATATTACAACGAACCACGACGTATTTTACGGTCATTGTCTGTTGAAGAAAAACCATACGAATCATAGGACTTGTGGACGATTGTGTTTTCTTAGAAGATAAGAGAAAAAGAAAGAAAAAAAAGAGAAGGACTGGAAGGAATATAAATTAAAAAAAAAGAAGGCGTTGACATCTCCATCTCGCCCAACCAACCCAAACCCCTCGCGGTCGTAATCCAGCCCGCCACGCGACGGGGGAGAGTTCTCTGCAGAGTGAATCCTCTCTCAAGTGTCATCTCCAGTGCTTAGGGCCGCTTGGCAAATCGCAGGTTACCCATGCGAGCAAGACGGGCCACCGCGGCATTCGGGCTGGGCGCCAGGCAAGGGGGATCTTACGGGGATGGGTGCATGGTTGAGATGTTACAAGGAGTAGCGCGAGATAAATCGAGAGACTTCGCCGTTTGACCATTACAGCCGGCAATTTCCCGCCGTATTTTAGTATATACACCTAGCTCGCATGTGGGGCCCCAGTATGATGCTGGCGAGCTGGGGGTGGGCCAAGTTGCGACTCTGGTCAAGTCAACAGCTTGGCAATTCTGCCGTGCTCAAGCAGCATCGTGCAACTACCAATTTGTATTTTCCTGGCATGACAGATCCAGCCGCGTGCTGGTGTGCTACACACATGGGATAAGGACACACACGAACAATAGCAGAAATCTCAAAAAGCGCCTGTTGTCCTGCTCTGCACCCCCCCGTCTCCATGCACAACTCGCAGCAGCATGGCAGCTCCCTGACATCCGTCTCGACAACCAACACCAAGGAATCACCGCCATGATAACCGCCACGCCGCGCCTGCGCGTCCGCCGCCCGTCACCCACAACCGCCGAATTCACTGTCACGACGCTGCCTCCTCGCACGCTCTCCCTGCGCATCCTCCGCCTACTCCTTCTCGTGGCCCGCATCCTCCTCACCCTCACGACCGCGCTCCTGCTGTACGGCCGCTGGTCCTCCTGTCCCCTTGCCGCCTCGCAATCCTCCGCCGCCGCCCGGCCGGCGTCCCTCCTCTCCCTGCAGGGAATATGGTTCCTTCTCGATGGCTACACGCGCTCGTCCACGGGACAGTTCTTGGCCAGAGTCGCCTCCTCCATTCCGCTGGGCTTGCTGCTCCCCGGGGCAATTGTGGCCTTGTACGTGCTCAGTCTGCGGCTGCACTCGCATGAGAGCCTCCTCGTGCTGCGGGGGCTGGGCGTGCAGACGACAGAGTCGCCGTCGACGTATCTCGCTAGCCCGTCGACGCGGTTCATTCCCACAGAGAAGATTCGGGACATTTTCGTGAACGAGGCGTTCATCGGGTTCGAAGTGAGGTACTATCTTGTTGTGGTGGTGGAAGGGGAGGAGGATGTCGTGATTGTCTTCCCGGGGCTGCTGCCCAAGAGGAGGATTGTCGAGACGGTCTGGAGGGGTGCGAGGGAGTGTTTGTACGAGGCCCCGAAAAGGGATGTAGAATAGATGTACGAATGATGACGCCCCCTTTTTCTTAATACTGTCTCCGTGGAAAATGATTGTTTCAAAAGTGGATTATTTTGACACAGTATTAGAGTCGAAACTCCCGAGTTTTTTTTTCTTTATAACTATGTGCTACATGTAGATGATTTCTTCTATTCATCGTCTTCTTTGCTACGCAATCCCTTTTGCGCACGCATGTCTTCTGCATCTGCATACCCTTTCCTCTTGGCATACCGGTCGTTCTGCTCCTCTGGCGACTGTAGCACTTCCTTCTTCATCACGGGCACATACCTACCACCCAAGCGTCCGCTATTTCCGCCTTCAAATACTCGCGCACTTGCATTCGCCCGGCGATTGCTCCGCGGGCCTTCCGCCATGTCCTGAGATTTGCCTTGGCCGGATATGAGCTGCAGCAGCTGTGATGAAAGCAGCTCGTCCATTTTGTGGCCTCTCCATGTTTGCCACAAGCTGTCCATGACGCCAAACTGCCCAAATTTATTCGGGGAATATTCCTCGCCCACGTAGATCCACTTCATGCAGTCTTCTCTCTTGCTGGGCGCGTCTGCCGCCGTATAGTCCGTCTTAGAGAGATCTGGGAAGATGCAGTCCCACAGGACGAGAGGCACTTCATCCGCCATGACGTAGCTAGGTCGGCCGGGGTTCTTGGCTGTATCAAGTAGTTCGGAAATCACTGTTGGCGATTCAAGACCTTGGCCGACAAGGAATAAGACGGCTACCATGTGGCGGATCTGGTGCCACAGGAACGCAGAGCCTCGAACGTGAAAGTAATACACCTTGGGGTATGGCCCGGAACCTTCAAGCCCGGGAGATGAGAATCCTGGGGTTTGGAGGTACGGCATTACCGAGCCAGCACCCTGCACTTCGACAATGTCTGATTCAAAGATTCGCCGGTGGAAATTGGTGATTTGTTTGGCGGGGTCGATTTTGCAAAAGTTGCGGAAGTCATGCTCGCCTTCGTAGCGCTTGGCTGCGTCGCGCATGGCGTCAATGTCAAGCCAGCCCGCTTTGAGAGGTTTGCTGGCCCCCGACAAATCTAGGCTCGTGGGATCTGGTGCAAAAGCAGGCTGCGTGAAGAAATAGCGGTACTGGCGCTCGCGGCAGGAGAAGCGGGCGGAGAAATCGGGCGGTGGTGACGGGCACCATGCCAGGATGCGAATGTCATCTGGCAACAATCTGTTCAGGATCCGTGGGTAGCAGAGTTCGTCGTGGATATCGTCGAACGGCTTGTCCTCTTCTTGCGCCTCCACCTCTTCTTCAGCCTGCTTTACTCCTTGGGGATCTGCGTCGGCCAGGGCGATGTCTTCAGCGGCAGCCACATCGGTCTCGGCCCTCTTCTTGGGAAGTGGCCTGTTGCTGCGCACCTTCAGCCCAATGACTTGTCCAAAGGCACTGACTCCACGGTCTGTCCTGCCGCACTTTGAGTATTCGCAGCAGTCAAATTGGACGATCCTTTCGTCCTCGGGGAAGATGAGGCATGCCCGTGTGAGAGCGTTCCAGAGCTCCTCCTCGATAGAGGGCTGATTCCCCATGGCCTGAAACTCGAATCCACCGTAGTTTTTGCCCAAATATGCCAGCTTCAACGCAATAAATCTGGTTGAATATCTCGAGGGATCCATCCTCCGCTTTGTCTTTGGTGCTTTTGTCTTTTTGGCAGGGCCTGCCATGTCATCGGACATTGTAGTAGCCATGGCACCTAGAGGTTCATTTTCAGGGGCAGAAACAGCTTTGGGAGCTTCAGGCCGTTTTTTCAGTTCACTCTCGAGCTCCTTCAGTCGCTGAATAAGACCGGTTTTGGTCCAGCTGTTGTAGTTTGTTTCGCCAGACATGTTTTCGTGAGGCTTAGCCTTTGGAACCCTTGGCCGTCGGTCGGTTTGTTCAGGCCTTTGAAATGTCGAGCTGCGACGACAGGGCTGACAGTATATGGGTCTACAGGCTCTGGAGACGGCTCTGGCAGAAACGCTGCGCCCTAAAGAACCGTGGACCGGCTGCATGTAAGTGCGATGCAGCCTTTATGACACCATTTTCACTTCAGGGCTCTCTGCATTCTGCATGACTGGGCGGGCATAGCAAGTCAACGGACGGGTATCAAAATTTCGGTGGAAAACTGTGGCTAGTGTCTTGTGGTGGCTTGGAGCAGCAATGGCAGCCAAGCCGACCACCAAGCCACATTTTGGTCCTGGCATATCATTCTGGCAGCCACCACTTCATACAAAGACCATCGGTTGCTTCTTTTCCCGCACCCTTGCAGAACTGATAAGACCGTTGCGCTCGACCCAAGGCACAATGGACCCCGAAACAGTAAGACTACTACTCGTGGGGGATGAGAAATGTGGCAAGACGACTTTTTTATCGTGTGTATTGACTCTACCTCGGCTAACCCGGTTGCGATTGTTTGCCTACTGACCGCCCGGTACAGCAGACTGAGCGCTGGAGAAGGCACAAGCCCGATACCAATTCTTCGAGACATTGACCAGCCGTTCGTATTCAATATAAACCTTGGAGAGAAGAAGTTTCGTCTCGAGTTTTCTGATACCTCTAGCCCGGACAACTGGCGGCTTCTTGATCCGGATGTGATTGTTATATGTTACGATATCAGCCAACGACTAAGTCTCATAAACATGAAGCGATATGTGCGTTGTCTCAACCTAACCAGCCCCTTGACAGCACTCTAGGACAAGCACGTGCTGACCTGTACTGGCAGTGGATCGACGAGGCTAAGAGGACGTTCAAACGAGTCGACACTTTGCCCATCATCATTCTTGGTTTAAAGAGAGACCTCAGGTCTGAGAACGACCCCAATGGCATTATTTATCCGCAGGAAGCGTATCAGCTGGCACAAACCATGAGGGCAGATCGATATGTCGAATGCTCGGCTGCGACGGGGGAGCTCCTCAAGCCTGCCTTTGAGGATATCTGCAAGACAGCCACCAAGACTACCACTGCAGCTGGGGGGCAGAGCGAGGGGGGCTGTATAGTAATGTGAAGGTCTAGCTGCCCAGTTCGCAACACCACTTCTCCAATAATAGAGGTGAGACGGGTTGTAGGAATACTCTGTTCGACTTCGGGCTGCCGATGAATTGCAATCGAATGAGCGAGAACTCGTCATTCATGAAGCTTCAGCGTCATTCATATTCACATCCTCGCCCTCGCCCTCGCCCGCGTCCCCGTTTGCCTCAGCCTCAGCTACCTCGAACTGACCGAGAACGTCGGCGACAATGCCCACCATTTCTTCTTGTTGCTCATCCGAGTAACGCTCGGTCATGTCCTCAATAACGGTGTTGAGAGCAGCAATGGATGCCGGCCGGAGGTTTAGAATCATGACCATCTCGCCCTTTGACAGCTCATACGGACTTAATTTCTCAATGATTTGAGCGATGGCCTCTGGGGTGTAGGTGAGGGGCTTCTGACTCAAAGGACTGGGGGCAGTCCGCAGGTACTGCAGCATCTGTAAGTGCAAGGGGGGTTGTCAGCTTATTTTTTATTTACTTTGGTTCGCCTCAGTTTGAGATCAGGGTCTATGCGCAATGAGACCATGCAACCTACCTCTCGAACAACTGTCTCGAGGTTTGGGGGCCCGCGGTGCTTCTTCTGCTTATAGCGGTCACGTTGATCAGTGAGGTGCTGGTAGACCTCATAATTGGATAGAACGGCTGACTGGGACTCAAGGATCTTCATGGCGAATGGCGAACAGGATCAGAATGAAGCCTTGGCAAATTTTTTATGACGGTGCGGCGTGAATATGCAGATGAGGGGTTCAGCCGAGGGGGAGTGCACCCTGAAGCAAGTCGGTGGCGAAAATGGCCAAATGGTTGTGTTTAATATCAGAAAGTATGCGAGGTGTCGGACTGTTGGACAATTGGTAGCAGGTTTGACAGATCGGCGCGTGTGGTGGTGGTGTCAATGAGCTAGCCAGTCAAGATGAAGTTGATTTCGAGGCAGTATGCGAAACTGGAGTGACAGCCGGCTTTTTCCATGGGTTCATGCACCAGAGCGGCCCAGCGACCAATCAGCAAGCAGGCTGCCACGTTAAAGGCTTCGAGACACTGGTTGGGGACGAGAATCCATTTGATGGAGCAACAACGTGAGGACTTGTCCAGGCACCAGCTGAGCAATTCACTGCCAACTAGAAGTAAACCAAATTACCTAGATGCCCGGGCCTCGAAATCGTGGAGAGATTAATTGGATGGGTAGGTCGGAAAACGGCTGCGTGCTGGACCTGGCTTACGAAGTTGGCACGAGGCAAATTAAAGAGCCGCCGCCACGATGCAAGTGTCGACGGCGTACATATGTGTGTGCATGTGTGTGTGTCAATTCTGTGGTGTGGACTTGGTGTACCATACCATGGACACTTCAACCCCAGCCTTTTGTGCCACGGCAGCCCGGCAAAGTATCTAGGAGCTTGGTCGGCTTGCCATGGCCTCCGTGTTTTTATGTACCGCCGGAACCGCCATGGATCGCAAAATATCCGTGAGACCATGAGCTGGCAATGGCCAAGATGGCGCAATGGGCCTGCACTTTGTACGCAGCACATCACCCACTGCGCAGCGCTGCGACATGCATGACTACCATGTGGTCCGCGCCGTACACAGTGTGGTGATTTATACCAACGACAGCCCACAGTTGACGTCGTGATTCGACGTCAATATCTATGGTTGTGAGCCATTTTGTGACACGGCAGCCCTCTGCCGCCTCGTCCTGGCGTCAATGTGTTCAGTGTCGCCGAGTTGTGTCAGATGCAGCATCAAATCAGACTGTTTAATAAATTCTTGACCTCGCCTTGAGTCAGCGCCGAGCCCAGATCCCACCTCTGAAAACCTAGTCTCCCGGGCCCCGTCCGTCACAGGACGACTCGTCCCCATTTCTCTCGCCTGGCGGCGGCGTTTTCCTCTTTTTCTATTTTGTCTTTATCCATCTTCTGGTCCCGCTCGCCCATCAACATGCTGCTATGACAGAAAGCCCGAATTCTCATTCTGTTTGATTTCTTTCTCGGGTCCGCTTCCTGTGTTTTTTGCCTGCCCACCTACAGCTGCAGGTCGCTCCTGCCGCCCCTGCAACTTGCCTGCTACCTGTCGCCGGAATCGGCCCAGAAGATAGAGCCCTCGGCAGAGCCTCTAACGTGGGACGTCGGCTGCAGGCGCTACACAGGCATTTTTTGCAGCTCCCGGCCTGCGCCTGCCAACACAGCGCTACTCCCCACTCTTGCTCCAACCAGGTTGTAGCGGGGAAACAAGGGAAGGACGACAAAAAAAAAAAAAAAAAACAGAACCGACGACCTCGACATCGGTTTCGGTCTGCGCCTGTTGCCGTCTCGTCCACGAGGCCATCGACGTCTTCATTGCCTCAGTCAACGGCCTGCCCTTGCGCCTTTCGGCCCTGGCTCAATTCGCCCTGGTTTTTCTCTCTTTCCCTTCTAATTGGTCGTTGACGCCTCTCCCCGCCAGTTTCGAACTATACGGCCATGGTCCGCAACATCGTTTTGCTCGGCGGCAACTCGCATCCCCGTCTGACGGAGAATGTCTCCAACATGCTCGGCATTCCTTCATGCGATCGTATCCTGAGCAAATTTTCTGGTGGTGAAAGCCGCTGCGAAATCAAGGATTCCGTCCGTGGCAAGGATGTCTACATCATTCAGTCCGGCTCCGGCCACGTCAACGACAACCTCATCGACCTCTGCATCATGATCTCCGCGTGCAAGACCGGATCTGCAAAACGCGTCACCGCAGTCGTCCCTCTCTTTCCCTACTCGAGACAGCCCGATTGGCCCTACAACAAAGCTGGCGCGCCACTGTCCAAGTCCACCGAGACATCCAAAAAAGACTACACTTTTGAGAGTGTGCCGGCCACACCTCGCCCTGGCGGCCCTCGTAGCCATGGCCTGAACGGTGCCTTCAGCCTATCCGAAAAACTTCAAAAGACGACTATTGCAGAGACCAACGATACAGATTACTTGCCAAAGAGGTCAGATACGTTGTCCAGTATTGGCTCCAATGGTCGCGGACATACAGCCGAGAATTCCACCTCATCCCAACGAAGCTTCACCACCCATGATTATGAGAATCCCAACAGTGTCGCTGCCACCTTCCAGGCTAAGCCCGGCTATAAGCAGTGGGTGGCCCAGGCCGGTACTCTAGTTGCCGACCTCCTTACTTGCGCCGGTGCTGACCATATCATCACCATGGATCTGCACGACCCCCAATACCAGGGCTTTTTCGACATTCCTGTGGACAACCTCTACGGCAAACCACTCATTCAGAATTACATCCAGAAGCACATTCCCGGCTATAGGGAAGCCGTCATCGTGTCTCCGGATGCTGGTGGGGCGAAGCGAGCTACCGCGATCGCTGACAGTCTCAAGATGGACTTTGCCCTCATTCACAAGGTAATATAAATTTCTCAACTACCTCTTCTTCGTTCACTACTCATCCCACTTTCAGGAACGCCGCCCCATTAAGTTTACTGAACAGCGAAACGCTAGCATGATGCTCGTTGGCGATATTGCCAATCGCGTTTGCATCTTGGTTGACGACCTGGGAGACACTGCCAACACCATCACACGAGCTGCGAAGCTCCTGAAGAAGGAGGGAGCAACCAAAGTCTATGCTTTGCTCACCCACGGTGTCTTCAGTGGTGACGCAATCCCCCGTCTTAATGCATCTGCCATTGACAAGATCATTGTGACCAATTCGGTTCCCCAGGACGAGCATCGTCGTCTGTGCCCCAAGCTGGAGGTACTGGACGTTTCTCCCATCTTTGCTGAAGCTATTCGCCGAGTTCACCACGGTGAATCCATCAGCAGGCTTTTCCAGTACGACTAATTCTTGTTTGGGAAATTTGCATTGCTGTCGATACTATGACGTTTCTCTCGCCCTTGAGAACAACATTCCTTAATGACAGGCGCACACAACGATTTAGATTTCTTTGCTTTTTTCGCTGTCCTTGCTACAGTTCTGCGGAATCTGGGTAGAGTTGTGCGCAATACCTTTTGATTGCGCTTCTACACGAGCCCATATTGAAAACGAAAAATCGTTGGAACCCTGGAGTTTTACGGTGGTTTATATTCATAATTTGGTGCCTTTCCCTTTATTTTTCGTTCATTCTGGGCACACATTTGGCGCTCCGATTGGCATCCCCGCAGCCCGCACGAAGAGAGCAGTTTAGGCTCGCGGTAGAAAACTATATCATGAGTCGAGTTGAGTTGAGTTGAGTCGAGTAGGATGAGGCGGCAGGCTTATTTTAACCAGAAAAAACAAGCTAGCAGCTTAAATCTGTGTTGCTCGTGTTTTGCTCCATCTCATTTGTTGCAATAGCTGCAGTCCTATCAACCCCGAGAACCGGCACAGAAGCAGCTATGCCTTGTACTGTTTTCTGTGAGCTCCAGAAACAAGACTATTATTCCTTCTTCGGGAACTCGTCTTTGTCTCTTTCTCTTTGTCTGTTTTCCCTTCTTCACCATCAGACTATATAGAAGTGAATGGATTGATAAACCGTAGATCTAGGGTACTTTGGATGAGCCCTCACGCCGGCTGTTTGTGTTTTCGATCAAAAAGCAAATGGGCGTATTAGATCCGGTCGCGTGGTATGCGAGTGCTGTGCGGCCGTTAATGATGACGAGAAATAGACTCTCACGATGTAAGTTTTTTATAGATATATAATACATGTGTAAATATATATGTATATGTGGAGCATTGATTTGACGCATACACAAGGATTAATTTTTTTTCGTTCTATCCGAGCCAGATCTCGTGTTTGTACATGCGAGTGTGGAAGACATCCTGGAAAACAACACACTTTTCTGGTACATGGCATCTTCCCCGTGAGCTTTGTTCATTTAGTCTTGTATGTTGTATCATGCTATTCTGTCTATATCTGGAATGCATGTGTGTACGCTGTGTATTACTCCTTCTTGCACATGCTAACATACAGGATAGCGGCCACCTTACTTTATCCCTGCCACAATACTCTTCCCCTTTTGTCGTGAATGCTTCAGCCCTGTTTCAGAACGAAATGTTCGCTAATTACCTGACACTCTGTAGTGTAATCCAACGTCAGACTCGGTGATTCCCTTCCCAAAACTGGTCAGCTTGATTGTGCGCGTCGCGCTTCATCTTATCTCTTGTGTATTGCCAACGTCATCAACTAGCCGGAGGCATCAACCACCCGGCATGAATATTTTCTAGATCCTCGGGTACATCCCATCCGTGGTTTACAGCTGCTCGTATATAGGCTGCTACGGCCTCTGCAATACCATAGTCGGCGGTCCTTTGCCTTGTGTCCAGCCTTGCTGGACGCTCTGTATCGCAAAGGCCCAGGCGGATTTGTAGAAACACCATCTCCATGCTCATGGCCGGAGACCAGCCTGAGTTGGTCAACATCTCAGAGCAAATCGCTCCTCCCGCTGTGACGTGACCTCCGCCCCCTTCTAGGAACGGCAGGAAGCGAGGTCGAATAATTCTCACGAACGGTGGGCTCATAGGAAAGTTGCTACCGAAGCGGACCTCTAGGACAATACTTCTTAGTCCCCTCGATTTCATGTCCATGGCAAGAGGAAGCCCCGAATCGAAAGAGTGAAACTGGACGATCCACTGGAAGAGATTGTCAATGGCTAACGTGTCGACAGACCAGCCTAGTGATGCGGCATGATTTTGTGATTGAATAGTATGAATATGTTTCAACTCTCTGGTCAGGGTTTGGAGGGCCATCGGCGATGATGTTGCCCAACTGGGAGGTGGAAGTTGAGGGATGGTCTTATAGTCTAATGAACCCAAGGACACAGTCATGTTCTGGGTAGAACGGGTGTTTTTTTTGCCAATTTCGCTCCATTTTGTACTCTTCCAAGGTGATGGTGATGAAGCCAGGCCGCAGGAACTCGGTTCAGGCGATGTACTGCGTTGACGTTTCCGACTCTCGTGTGCTCTGTACAGCTTCAAGATATCATCGACCAAAATATCCGGATGATCTCCGCTGTCACTGTCACATGATTCATCATCGATCTTATTTGTGACAGCCGTGATGGAGCCCAATGCCGTGTTGCCCAACGTCAGACCCAGAGCCTCTTGTTGTCTGGCAATGGATAGAGCACTCAGTGGAATTTGCAAGGGATCCATACTATATTCCCTCATAATGCAGTGTTCCGGGTCTTGTTGAATATACCCAGTGCATTCTGGGCCAGATGGGGCAAAAAGGGGATTTTTGAGCGCATTCTCGGTGGGATCAATCTGTATCAAAAGATACCGACATTGTATCCATTCTTCCTTGTCAACAACGAAGTGAGGATGAGAGGCAACAAATTCTTCAGGCCTGTTGACAATCTCGCATATACTTAAAGCCAGCGAGATCCTAAGTTCTGAACCCATCCAACAGTGACGAAAAGGCTAGCAGCAGGTTCATAAATCGTTAGCTGTGTTGCAGTTCAAAAGAGGGGACAAACAGCTAAAATTTGAGGGCCTTTTGAGGGTTTTAAACGTACGGCTTTTGCACAAAAATCTAATCTTGTCGAATATGCCTTGCTCACCTCCATATGTTTGCTGAAATAAACCCCATGGCCATAGGACCTCCCATGTCGGGTTTGCTGGAAATCCAGTCCTGCGCGAATTATGCTATGCCAATTGGAAATCGGGCTGCCATGCCAGACGAAGAGGCTTGGTGGCTTGGCTGTTGACTGATTTTTACTCTTCATCTCCTGTAGAGTTTTCAGAAAGGCATACTCTTTTTCTGGAGATCCTTGCGCAAAACGGAACTGCATCCAGCCATTCTCTAAGGGACGAATTAGATTTGAAGTTGCCTTCCTCATAGCCGCCGACCGCGGATTTTCATTACTAGAGTGAGCTGCAAGGTCTTTGGACGGTACAGGGCCGTCTTGGACGATGTAAGAAGTGTTTGAAGCGACAATCCAACGCATAAGAGACAGTGCAGAGGGGTTTATTCGTTTCCAAGAGGATAGCATTCGGCCAGGTTCATCCAATAAGTAGCTTCTCATTTGTAACACGGAGGGGAGATTATCAAGCAACTCCGTTAATGCAATAGCGCGCTGGTCAGCATCGAGATTGTCAACGTCGTGCTCGTACGGAAATATAAACCCCGACTGCCAGAAATCTTTTTTGGAGGGGACGGCAGTGCTAAAGATCAATTCTGAGATCGAGATCTCAGCCCGGTTCTTAGGCCAAATGATGGAGTTGGTTGTTTCGTACTTATAAAGGCCATCGTCAAGAGTCTCTGACACATAACATGTGTGTTTTTCAATGGCTATGTACTTATCAGCACAAATAACATAGGTGCTGCTTATACCGAGGACATTACACCCGAAGCTAAGGATGGTGATAGTGGTTCATAGCTCCGAGTGTCATTGAACTTACATCCCGCCTTATTGGTGAGCATTGCAAACCAATCTCCGTTGCGCATTCTTTTTCTGATATTGGTACCCATCGGTTCATTCCTGACCAGTAGGATTCGAAATTGTTGAAACTGAATACATGTCTCGATCTGAAGGTGTGGCGCCGATTGCTGGATAACGGGTGCCCTCAAGGCCAACCCACACGGAAATTCTCGAATACTTCTTTGAGTCTCCCCGGTATAGAAGAAGCTGATCAGAAGGTCTACTACATAGGGGCTACTTATGACCTCGTGCTCAATATTTGGTCCTAGACCCAATGCCAGGTACTGATACAAGCATAGGTCCTTTGCACAAACATAAGGTTTGAGTGGTACAAAGTCTGTCTGAAGTTTCAGATGACAGACTATGCAATATTCGGTGCACTTGCAGAACCGACGAAGAGCAAATTGCATTGCAACGAGTGGGAAGCTGATGCTGGCCTCGTCATCTAAAGCAAAGTCGTGTTGCAGACTTGAAGGAGCATGTGTTGATATTGGAATCTCGTGGCTCGCACCCGTTAAGCCCATATTGTTCTCTGTCGCAATCTCTGACTGGATGCGTCCGATATATTCGTGCATGGTGGCCTGCGCTTCATCCCAAGTATGTCCGTACGCTCTTCGAAATCTTAACAAACTAACAAATGACTTATTGAAAAGCATATCGATTGAATTAGACATACAAACAGAGGAGAACGCTGGAAGTGTGCTATCCGGGTTGTCGGAATTCTTAGTTGCAGCCGGGCTATATTGAAAGGCCAATCTCACTGACTCAATAGATGGCTTGGCCGATGAGCATCTTCCGAATCTGAATTGAACGACGGGATGTGTCCGAGATGAATGAAGCAGTGTTGCTATACTCGGATAGCCATTTGGAAGTCGCATAAGTAATACGATATAATCAGTCACTTTGATGTCCCAAGCATGCATCGTTTCCGACGTAATACCTAGCTTGGAAATCCTGATAGACAATGATATTACCTCCAGTGGGCGATCGGCAGTATTTGGAAAAATTCCAACGGTTACCCCAGCTTCCTTAGCCGTTTTCAAGTCTTTGCAGAGTCTCTGCAGTTCCTCTTTCTCAAGAAGCCGACCGCATACGTCTTGGCACTTACCATCGGCTCGGCTTTTCTCAACTTGCGGAAAAGCTTCGTCATCGCTAATCTCGAAAGAGTCGTAAAATTCATAATCAGGGGTATCCTGGTCTGGAGAGGCGCTGCTTCCAAAGCCGGACTCGAGGGTGTCATCAAAGCTTGCTGTGAGCTGGTCTGACACAGTCTGAATGACTTCATGCAACGTTGATCCTCTCGTCGAGGATGAGATGAGTTCGAGAAGGGAGAGAACTTTGGTGTCGCAAGTTTCTGACGAGGTAAATACCATGAAGCACGAATCATCTGGATAAGACGTCACATCTGTAAGCCATTAGCGTTGAGAAAATAATGATCCCGTCTCTCGGTCTAATATTGGCAAGAGATGTCGGAGACGCACCCATTGAAAGTATCTTTATCTCCAAGGGCTCTTCCAAGGAGTCATTGGAATACAACAATGATACTTCGCCATCGGAGTCGCCTCGTCGAACTCCCGAAATGCTATCATATTGTGTTTCTCTCGCTTTAGCCAAATCTGCCAGGAAGGCTCTTGCGCTAGAACTCATATTCGCCTCCCAAAAACGCAAGCTGGAAACTGGACGTGTGAGCTGTGGTGGAAAATATGAGAGGGGAGCAGAGAGAACGTTGGATATTAATTAGTAAAATGCCTGGTGGATAAGATGATCTCGTCCTGTGACAGGGACACCCATCGATAGGCAGTTTGCAACTACGAGTTTGGCAAAACCGCAAACAGGGTCGGCCAAGGGTCTGGTTGGATTGCCACGCAAATGGCGGTGCGTCAAGGGAAGCCGCAAGACTATCCTGCCTTCAACATGACAACGGCGTGATAACGAAGGCGTTGGTCGCTCTAGTTGCGCTGGCCAGCTGTGAAGAATGTAAATTCCGAAGGCTGTAGAGTCTAATGACGGAGATGGGAAAATACGGCGATAGCCAAATCAAGATCAGTGACAGTTGAAGTTGGGAAAGCAGCCTCGAGGTTCGTCGACGAAATTGGACTGTTAGGCAACCATGCTTGTGCTTATACTTAAGCACCGACTCTGGTACCTACCGAAGCACCCGGCTTGAGTGCCAAGATCAGGTATTGGGTACCCGAAGGCAGCAAACGACGTCTCTGGGCAGCTTGGGAGAGAGGAGCGCGGAGGCATGTTTGGCGGTCGCCTTGGGCTAAGTACTTCCCTACCTTAAGTTTAAGTACTTGAATACTAAGTACTTACTTAAGTAAGTAAGTAGGTACTTAACTTAGGGAACCTACTTACTTGAGTAAAGTAGCAATTTACCTAGAATTATACCACAGTGCATTCTTGCACCTCTTACGGTCGCAAGGCGTTGCGCCCAAGTGGTTTAACAAACTGCCCTTCGCCCCCTTCCCTGCCACTCTGTGGCTGTCCGTAGATATTATTTTTGGGCAATTGGCGCAGGCCGTCGTGGCGGCCCAGGCCCCGGAGCCTCAACCGGAACATGAACTTCAAGCCTCCCCGCCTCCCCCACCAGCCCACCTGACATTTTCGCTAGTAGTAGTATGTCAAAGGGTTCGTGGGGCCTCCTCTGATACAATTTTCTTAGGTAAGCAACCCCCCACGAGCCATTTGACAGCTAAAGAAATGGGGTCAGTCTGGTATTACTGTGGGCTGCGGGCCTGAGCTGCGCCGCCGGTCAGCCACCGCGAGTTGACAAACCGGAGTCACTGGCGCTATAGACCAGACTGACACCTGGCGCATCTGGACTCAGCTTAAGGCATCGCGCACCTCGCATCATCAGCTATACGCGCCGTCACCGCTTGGCTGGTGCTTTCGCCTCCAATCCGACACTACCACAGTCCATGACCAACTAGGGGCGGCTTTTGCGGAAGCTCCAAACCCCCTTTTGGCTTTCGCTTAAGCCGTTCAATGTTCGAGGCGACGCGTCAATAACACATTTCTACCGGCCGTCTTTGCCTCTACCGACTGTCCTTCCGAACTACGTAGTCCGTGATCTGAGATCCGACTGCAACTCTCTCTCCGAAAATCATTCCTCATCATCCTTTCTTGCTACAATGCCCAGACAATACATCTTATTTGGGCGGCCGGTGCCGCCATTCACGGCTCGGCGCCTGACCTTCTTGTTACTCGGTCTCTCTATATTTGCCATTGCCTTAATATCGACTCTGACATCCGGCGTACCAGCCTCACCGAGTCTCTCAGCCTATGACACCAAGCTGTCCGTCCCCCATGTGCCAAACATGCCGCATATCGGTGACTCGCTTTCCAAGAGCTTCCTCAACCCGTTCCGACAAAAGTCACATCCTCCCCCGCATAACGATAAAGACTCATATGCAGGATCGTCCTGGTTATCTGATTGGAAGTGGCTTAAAGTTCCGTTTTCTAGCATCATAACTGTGGATGAAGACAGGGCGTTGCTTCCTCCGTTAAAACCCCGCCAACCAGTGTATTGTTACTACGACGCAACAGCTAAGAAGACGACAGAAGAAAAGGACGCCGAAAGCGAGTTGCTCCTTACTTGGAGGAGAGCCTGGTGGGCGCAAGGTTTCCGGCCCGTAATCCTTAGCGCTTCCGAAGCCATGAATAACCCCTCGTATGATCTCATTCAGAGACTCAACGTTGACCCTGATCTCATGGCAGACCTGATGCGTTGGCTGGCTTGGGACACCATGGATGGAGGCATATTGACCCACTACACGTTGCTGCCCGCGGTTGCGAAGGAGGATTCACTACTCGCGTTTCTTCGTCGTGGCGAGTATCCCCATTTGACCCGGTGGAAGGATCTGGAAGATGCGCTCTTTGTCGGCCACAAGGACCAAATCAAATCGGCCATCCAGGCGGTTACGAACATCGACCCAAAAAAGCTAGCAAGTGTCAAATCCCTCATCTCGGGAGTGCCTGACGAAGTTATTAAGGTCGAAAAGGCCACCATGCCACTTGCCGCGTATACTCCTGTCATCATTGCCAAAAAGTACGCTAAAGTTGCGGACGAGATCAAGAGCTATCGTGCCAGCGGGCTTGTCAGCCTCAACAAATTAATAGCTACTCATTTGCATGTTGCGTGGCAGAACCGATTTTCCGATGGTATTGAAGTCATTAAACCTTTTCCGGACCACATGAGCACCTTGGTCAGCAATGCTTTGCAGCTAGCCAGAGATCTGGCCTCATGTTCAGATAGTCCCATGCCAGCAACTTGTCCACCGAACCTGCCAAGATGTACCCCGTGTGTTGCCATGTCACCTATGCCAGTCACAACACCTACTCGATTTCACAACACGAGCAAGGTATTCAGCATTGGCACTGTCCCTCATCCTTGGACGTTGACCCTGGTCAAGGAGATGCGAGAATCGTTCAACGTCTCCTGGATCCGCCAAGAATCTCCACGAGACTCGTGGATTAGAACGGTCACCGAAGCCCTTCTTGGACCTGGCGTCACTACTACCCTGCGTCTAGTTCGCCTGAAAGAAGCAGTGGCCGGCGACTATGCAACTTCTCGTTCTCTATGGGTTGCAGCTGAAAAGGATATGCCTTCCGATATGAGCTGGTATTTTGGCTTCGCCATCCCCAAGAAAGTGCTGGATTTGGGCCAAGCCCAGCCTCCTGTCCCCGCGGACCGTTTGCCAGGAAAGGAAAACAAGCAGCCTCACAAAAACAACGGCCCAGTAGTCACGCCAGAAGAGAGAGCCTCGGAGCAGCCACTCATCGATCAGGCAAAGAAGGTTATCGGCTTGACCAAGTCCACTGACGAAACAAGGCTGCGTGCATCCCTTGAAGCCTGGAATATGGCCGATATGGAGATCTGGAAATTTGTTCGGGCTTTTCAATCACGCCGACACCAAGAGCGTGAGGAGTGGGAGAAGCTAGAGGCCAAATACAGCGGTGGCTCCGGGACTGAGAAGGGCCGCAGTGCTTGGTTTCGCTGGCAGGATCGTAAGCAAGGCGACGGGCGACCCGAAGAGCAGGAGGATGCAACTCCCAAGGCCAAATAAGAAACCAAAAGCATTGCATGACATGTACGATTCGGCGTTTCGGAATATTGGATCATGATTTATATACATTTCTCCAGGTAGGAGTGGACCTTCTACTGTGTAACACGCAGGACTATGGGATCATATAATCAAGGCAAATAGTAAAGATACGATCAAAGGAAAGCAAACAAATATGAACTTTTGAAGATATCGATGGCATATGTGATCAGGTTGAACTGTCACTACCAAGAAGTGAACCCCCTCTCTATCCAGCGACAAACGTTGAGTCGCCGTAGAACAGAACAAACATGCGTCCGTCCACTCCCCAATCCCTTTACACACGGACAGTATCACCACCCATCTCGCCACTCAACTCCCTTGATGTCGGACCGCGTCTATTCAAGCCCTCTGCTACATCAATATCCTCTCGGGCTGCGAAACCATTACTCTTGGCGCTATTTATAGCGGCCACGCCGCTCTTCTGCGAAACACCCGCGTACGTACGCATCGCAAGACGGGCTGCTTCGACGACCTTTTCAGCCTGCAGGACAGCTTCCTTCAACGCCCGCGCCGTGGCATCCGACTCGTGGCCGCAGTTGGTGGAGCGGTTCCTATCGTCGAGCAGATCACGGATATGGCCGCTGAGCCACACGCCATGGAGCTGTTGCGGCGTCATGTCCTTTGCACCGGAGATGGTGCCGCGGCAGGTGGGATGGCCGCAGAGGCAGGTGAATGGCTGGTTCATGTGCCATTCCGTGGAGGGGTAGAAGAACTATTAGAGTTTCAGTCCGTCACGTAGCTACAGGGTGTTGCTGCCACGGCTTGGTGGAGGGAACAGGGGAATTTGCGAGGCTTTGAGACGGGGGGCACTAACAGTAAGTTCGTCGCCGGGCTTGAGGCCCTTTGGTCCGACGAGGACGTTCATGTTCCCAGTGTCAAATATCTATTCCAGTCAACGTCTTTACTACGTGATTTGACGTCATTCACCTCAATATCTACCCCTGACTTTCGACGCGTCACACCTCTTCTTGCAACCCCCCGCGTGGACAGGGTCGAACGCCCATCATCCGTGGCCATCGAATACAACTCCAGAACGGGGACGACTAACAAGAGACGGTTCACAAGAGTGATTGATATACAGCAAATCGCTATTCAGATTAAAATGGCTATGCCGGCCCATCTGCACGGTGGCGTACGTCGGCTCGTCGGCAACAGTGCAAGGCGGGAAGGAGAGCTTCGCAAAGACAGCAAACGGCGGCAGTGTCACCTTGGAGTAGCTCTTGGTGGTGAACTCTTGCTCGTTGATGACGACTTCCTGAACGGCAGGGTGAGAGGGCTGCTGCCAGTGCGGGGTGAGGGGGGGCATTGTTTGCTTGATTGGCACGTGGTGAGAGAAAGAGGGTGGTGTTGTAGGGCAAGTTGATTGGCCTTTCGTACAGACTGCTGTTTCGATGCGTCGGTCGTGTTTGGTGATGCTCGAATGGGCGAATGTCGACGGGGGCGCAGTGGAGGGATGGTACTTATAAGAGACCACATGCAGTTGCCGTGACGGAAAGTCTATTTCCAACTGGCACCGTCTTTGCTCCACGAAGCTCTGGA